TGCACATTAACTTAATTACCTTGAGTTCCCTCACTGATATCTGACAGTAGTACAGTGAAAACCTGCATACATTTTAGGGTTGGGTTTTTCTTTGTCTTCATTTTTTCATCTTCTTCAGGCTAATATTGGTGACTCTCAAATCAAGACTTAATAATTTGAGTGTCTAAGCTTATAATTTATCCCTCAGCAAAATGTTTGTATTCATAGTGTTGGTCTTTTTCTGGGCCATCAGTAACATTTATACAGATAATCTCAAGAGTGAGTGATGTATTTTCCCCAGGTTATGTAACAGGTATTTTTAAAGAGTTCTCCTATTATTGAGGGTATCATTGCTGAAAACAACTTTCTTGGGTGTTCTTCACTAGGTAAGGTAACATAAGCTTTCATAAAACAACTGAATTTTTGTTACTTTATAAAGCACTAGGAATGAGGGGATTCTGGTAACTCCTTGTTAGTGACTGTATTGACTTTACTGGTGTTATTGTCCTCGCAGCTCATATTGTCCTACTAGTCAAGGTGAAGCTTTTAAAAATACTGAATCCATGGATGTTTTTCTTTCCTCTGGCTTTCACCAAAAAAAATCAATGGTCTTCACATCTTGAAAGTTAATCCTGTTAGATCTGTTTCTTTTAATATACTGGGGTACTCGTGTGTGCAGGATTCCCCTGTGGGACAGGTCTAGAAGGAAACAAGGATTTACCCAGTGATAGGGAAAAGGAAGAAAAATGTAAAAACTGCTATGAAACTTGAGTTTTGAGATCACTTTGGACTTGCTTTTCTTTCCGGAGTAAATGAAAATTTGTATCCATAGGAATCTGAGATTTTAGTAGCTTCGTTAATTTCCCACTGAGCAAGCAGGTCACATACTACAATAATGTATGAAATAAAAATGTGTTTTATATTAAATGCATTCTGTAAGGTCTCTCAGCAACTGTTCTTCTAAACTGGGTAACATGCCATTGGTATTTCTTCATTTAAAATTTGCAAATAAGCAGTTGTAGAAATGGTTGAGCAAGTGTGTATGTTGACTGTAAACAGGTTACTGTCATGAGCATCTTCTGATTTCCTGTCCTCATCCATGTAACTTTACATATATTTACAAGTCACCATGAATAACAAAAAAATAATAACTATCCTGATAACAGTGCTTTTTGTCTTGCCTTTTTTTTTTTTTAATTTTGTAATTACAGCTTCTGTACCTTGTTTTTCTTAGTGTCAGTTTTTCATTTGGATCAGTGAGATCTTGATGGGTATGAAGTGAATGACGTTCCAGTATTTTGTGGGGGAGTGTGAAGCATTAGTTTCTTGCCAGTAAACTGTTATAAATTTGCACATGGAATCTTTAAAGGAATTACTTAATACATGTTCATTGTATGTGGAAAGCAGCCAGAAGTTACAAAATCCAAGTTGGACTGCCTTCATACTCACCATGGGACATTCGTGTTAGAAGTCTGAGTTTCAAGCCACTTTTGTGGGCAAAACTCAACAATTGTTCTGGTTACACTTCGGGACTGGAGCAGCCATCCTGCTCTTCCTCCATTTGGGATGCCTGTTACAATCTTCTTGGCAGACCAAACTGAAAATTTTGATTTTTTTTAATCTGTGAAGTCTCAGTAGGTGTTGTTTGTTTAATCCAGTTCAATGGGAGAAGTTTAAGTGTTGAAATGAAATATTTTTATCATCCTTCCACTCATGTCAGGATCAATATAAAGTTTTTCTGTTCTCATAAACAATATCTACACTCACATCTTAATACTCACACTTTTGCAACCATTTGTTTTCAGCAGAGACAACACAAAGCTACAGCTGGGAAGAGTATTCTCTGGAAAAAAAACGAAGCAAAACACCACACAAAACAAACAAACAAACAAAAAAAGGATGCAAAACAATTGTTGTGAGATTTTTAAAAAAATAAACTATACGTTGTTTTCAAAAACTGGTTGTAGAGAACAGTTCCATGTCAGAAAAGGGATAAACTGCAAGGCAGGAGCAAATCTAATCCTTTCTAGCTATTTTAATTTAAATTTAAATTACTCCTGTTCAAATGCAGTGATCTTTGAAATTACATTTCAGAGAGTTTTTTGTGAGGAAGTGACTGGAATTGTGAAATTACGTTCTGAATTTATTTTGTGTTGTTTTCAGTGTTATCTTTGAATCACATAAGGTGATTCTTGTTGAATCTGAGAGTGTTCTACACCTTATTCTCAAACAAAAGAGTAATTTCCTTTTAATGTTAATTGTTCTTGAATTGGGTTTATTCTTCTGTAACGGACACTTGGTTTTATTTCTCCAGTAAGTATTTTAGATGAACTTCTAAACTCAAGTGTGTGTTACTGAAGTCAAGGTGAAAATGTAATTTAAGATGCTTTTATTTTTTTTCCCCCAACATTAAGTGTTTTATAAACTACAAATCAATAAATAGCATCAGGATGTTGATAACTGTGTGAAAATAATGGTTTTGCAGTCTTGTTTTCCAGGATTAATTTGGTGATATGCGGCTGGGTTTTTTATCAGTGGGAACTCCTGGGCTGCCTGTCATTTTCACAAGCAGTGTGAGAGATTCTCACTAAAATAAAAGTATAATAAAATACCTGAAGTCCACACTGTGCTCTTAATTTGATAACCAAACTATCTAAGAACATGTTGGATAACTTCTTTAGAAAGGTATATCATCAATTTATACTCCAAAAATTAATTTATGAAAACATGGTCTCCCTGTTGTTTTTTCTGAGGCCTTTGACAGGAATCTTTGCTACTTGAACCTGTCACTGAAAAGAGACAGGGGTTTTTTTTTTCAGTTTACATAATAAATGTGTTGAACATCATAAGATGAAGAGCTTTTAATTTTATAAAATTTGCTTGGCTGTCAAGGAGAAGTTATAACAAGTGGTTTCCAGCCAAATTGAGTCTGCTGAGGAGGGATGGATCTCTTCCCAGCACTAGAGAGGCACTTGTGGGCAGAATATTATGGGGAAAAGTTTAATGTTTTAATGTATAGAAACATTTAGGAGGCAAGATACATCAAAATGTAAATTCAAAGTGACTGAATCTTGTAGAAGTTTACTGGGATTTATTATGGCTGTTTTAAACATGAAAAAAAAAAGTTGTTTAAGCAATAGGTGTTTTGAGTCAAATACTTTATTGTATCGGGAAATATAAAGTTAGGGAGCAATGCCTTGTCTTTATAAATGCTATCATCCACATTAAAACATTTATTCTTGTTTCTGGAATATTGCTTAGCATTTATGTTTAAAGAACAAGTATAATTCTTTTAGTGTTAAAGACAGAGGCAGCAAGAACAATTTTACCCATTTTCGAAGGACGACATTTAGGAGGTTTTATGTCATTTAAAACTACACATATTTTTTTAATCTGTAGATAAGCCCTAGTCAGATTTTAATGTTTTAGGATGCTGAAAAGAAAGGCTTCTTTTGCAGCTGTCTCTAACAACAAGGGAAAGATAATGCTTATTTCTTTTTCTGTTTGTATCTTGAACATTTAGTGTGGAAGTTCTGAAAATTATTTTTGTGAATGCAAATTAGATACAAAACAATGAAATTATTTGACTCTGGAAATGTTGCAATCCAAGAGATAAATAGATCTGAGAGCTCTCAGTGTAATCACCACAAACACACACAGCCTGTCAGATGCTGCCTCTGTGATGAAAAGACAAACAAATAGTGAGAAAATAATAATACTGATAATTCTAGGGTTAGAAACTAAGGTTAAAGTTCCTTATTATGGAGAGAGCTTGTTCAAACATAAAAAGTATTTGTCATTCTGGTGAACATATTTGTAGTTAATAGTGTTAAAATAGACCAGTTATATTGTCCTCTTTAGATCTGTGCAGGAAGGGGAATTGTTTAATTTTACAGCAGGACCTTAAATTCTTTAAGATAATACTAAATTCTTTAATATGTACATCGTTCTTAACCCAGCATTTAAAAGGATTACAGCAGTAAGTAGCTTAATAAAATGTTATTTCACAATACCTCAATATCCTGAATTATATATTTAATTTAGAAGATACAATATACTAAACCCATGAGTCAGTTTTCCTTAAATCAGTGTGGTTTGTATGTAATTATATACTGGCTGATGAGACTGAATAAATCCAGTTTTACATCCCTAATCAGTGGCTGGTGATAACCTGTCTCAGAAGGGATGCTGTAAAGCGATTAATGTAATTAAAAAGCATAAGTAGAAAAAGAAAATGTTCTTTCTTCCAGCTGAAAGTGTATTAATTGAACAAGTAAGAAAAGCTGCAGAAAAAGAGAAGAGCGTGGATTAAAAACTTCATCAGGTTTCTGAGATGAAAACTGCAAACTCGCAATTTGAGGTAGAATTTGAGGATTGAGGGTTACATGAGTCTGAAACAGGGATAAAAGAGTTATATGAAATGTGGAGGAATTTGTGTGTGGGGAGCTCACCTGCTGGAGGCTTCTGAGCCCAAGGACAGCTGCGTTTTAAAAGAATGAGGAGGAAAAATCTAAAAATCTCTTAAAATCATGTTTAAGCATGCCGGTTAAGATTGTACACCTGTGTAATTAGGAGAAGTTATTGGGTTTTTTGTTATTTCCTGAAGGAAATAACTGTTCTGTGTGTTTGTATGCCCAAATACCTGGTCACATGAGTGCCCACTCCATATGGAAATGCCAGTATCTGATATTTTTGGGTATTATTAGCATTAGAAACCATACAAATTAGATGATCAAACTAAACCAAAGAAGTAAAAGTCATCTTTATAGCCATCTTTGCTGGAATTCTTCTCATGAGCTGCCTGGCCTGAATTCCCAAGGTCCTTTCTGGACTGTTTGTGAAGGTGGGAAAATTGTGTGCCAAGCAGCTGTTCTGGAAGGCGAATGTTCTGTCTGGGTCGTTCTGCTCTGCTTGGAGCAGCAACAGGAGATTTATGTCAAAATGGTTTCATCATCATGATTTTTTTTCCCAGCATTACCTGGCATTTTTCACAAGTTGGTGTGTTCTGTGTCCCAATGCAGAATGGGAGCAGCAGACAACATCTACAAAGGCCGAAGTACATTCATGGAAGAACTGACAGATGCTGCCGAGATAATAAGAAAAGCCACTCCAAGATCCCTGGTGATCCTGGATGAGTTGGGCAGAGGGACGAGCACACATGATGGAATTGCCATCGCTTATGCTACACTTGAACACTTTATTAGAGATGTAAGTGTTCATCTGGCACGTGGGTGTGAACACTTTTTCAGCCTGGCAGGCTGACTTTGTCATTTCCTTGTAAAAATGTGGCATGACTTAGTTCATAGCAAAGTACTGTGGATAAAAAATACCAGTTCTGTGATTCTGTGTTTAAAAAAAAATTAGAGTCAAACCTTGTTATGTGTCTATTTGTTGTTGTAGGTGGAGTCCCTGACCCTGTTTGTCACTCACTATCCCTCGGTTTGTGAGCTGGAGAAGCTGTATCCAGGCAAAGTTGGTAATTACCACATGGCTTTCCTGGTGAGTGAGGAGGAAACCGGTGAACAAAAAGGTACAGTATAAACCTGAGTGAGTCTCTGGCACTGTAGGTATGGGCAGAAATCAAAATTGTTGTGATAATTGACACCTCAGCATGAACTGGATGCATCCAAGCTCACTGGAGTGTCAGCCTCACGTGGCATGTGTGCAGTGCATACGTTTTGCGGGGCTTGGGAACTGAACATCCATTTCTCTCATGTTTTACATGGGGATGACTGAGCAAGGTGAAAGATCCAACCAGCCCAGCATCCAACTTTCCAGAGCAGCAAAACACAAAGGATTAGGGAGCATGGATTAGGGATCAAACATATGGCAGCTCCTTCTGAAAGATCTCACTGTCTGCAAACATTTGCTATTTATGGGTCTTCAAGAGCAAGTTGTGTTTCCTGCTGTTTTGTATTTCATGTTTTGGATTTCATTTCAGTGAGACTGCCCAGTTTATTCTTGTATCTTTATTCTTATATCTTTATTGTCTTCATCCTTCTGTGTCAAGGAGATCCAAAATTTGGTGGTCTGTGGACATCAAAACACATCATTGTTTTCAAACGTGCCTTCACTTAATGGTACTTAGTGCCATGGTCTAGTAACCACGGTGGTAGTGAATCAACGGTTGGACTTGATGATCTCAGAGGTCCTTTGCAGGCCGACTAATTCTGTGATGCTATGATTCTTGAATTATAGGAGGCATCATAAAGGCTTGTTCCCCAAGTCATCCTTGGAACTTTTTGTGGTTTTTTTTTTTTAATTGCCATGGAATTTGCCATTAACATTTCCCCTAAATAATGCTTATTATTGTATTATGTGCTTATATTTTGAGCTAATCAGGACAGAGAACTTCTGTATTTGCCTCACAGAGGAGGTTTTGACTTTGGTTTTAATTTTTTAGGATCTGAAGTTGAAGAGAATCCTGAATTTATCACTTTTCTTTATCAAATAACTAAAGGAATGTCTGCAAGGAGTTATGGGCTAAATGTTGCCAAACTGGCAGATATTCCTGAAGAAATCTTGAAGAAGGCAGCTCACAAATCAAAGGAGTTGGAAAGAATAGTGAATATGAAAAGGTCAGAACAATTGTTACTGTTTGAAAATTATTTCCTTCTCTAATGCCTACTTCTGTTCTCACAAGTGATCCTGAAAATATTAATGAATTTAATTTAGGAAGTATCTTACTCACTTTGGAACCTGAAACTGTGTTTGTACATTATAACGTAGAAGGGAACATGGATATTCTTCATCTGATTTAACTTGAAAATATTTATAATATATTTTGGTTGCTCCCTAAGCAGTCCAAATTTTACTGAAAGTTTGGGGATTTTAACATTTTTCTGATATCCAGTTTTCATTTAGGGTGCATGTATCTTATATATTGCACTAGTTATGAAAATTTGCATATGTATCAAATAACAATAATCCTTCTAAATCTTGTGATATTATGTACACAGTTTAGATATAAATATTTGCTATATTCATATTCATTTTCACTGGGGTTTTTTTAATTGTTATTTTCAGTGGCAGCTCTATGACCAAAATTCAAATAGCCTCTCTAGGAAAATAATAAATCAGGATCTTGGTTGTCTGTAACTGTAGCTAATCCTGACAGAATAATTTGCTATGAGAACATTGTGACTACTAGTTTCTTATAGGTGCAAAAAGTTATTTTGAAACTCAACAATTCTTCATGCCTAACAGTGGTTTTTTATACCCTTTTAATAAAGCAAAATAAAAACATTCTATTTGAAGGTAATGGCAGCTTATGGGAGAAATAATGTGTTAGCTTATGTTCATTGGAAATAATAATTGACATAAGTAAAACAACAAATTACTAGCAAAATCTTAACTCTGTTGTTATAGGCCACATAAAGTTCTAAAATCAAGAAAAAAATTTTCAGAAAAGTGAGAGCTGGAAGGGCAGAGTTACTTGGTAATAAAGCTAAAATGTGAAATAATGTAATATATCCCTTTCATTTATCTTTTCCTGTAAAAATTCTACCAGCATATTACTTGGACAGGGTACAAGAAAGTTCTAGCATGTCTTCATTTCTAAAAAGGGAGTTAATTGCATACAAAACCCATGAGCAGTAAAAATAGTACGGGATGATGTAATTGGAATCCTTATTTAGAGTGGCCAGAGAGGGGAAGTGAGGGCTGATGGAGCAGTAGTAATCAAAGGACCTGATTGTGTCCCATTTATCAGCCTTTGGATATAAAAACTGCCATCTCTATTTTAGTTTTCGGTAGGTAATTTGCTTGTATTCTCAGAGCGAGAAAGGACAAATACTTACTCTAAAACTGTGATGAACCCTTTGTCCAGTCTCATCACTAGGGCCAGGGAGTCCCTTGCCTTCTTCCCAAGAGATATTAACAACGCTAAAAGTGGGTATGGTACATAAAATAACCATGGTCTTGCGAGTCAACCTCAGACCTGTTCGCTGCAGTGCACTTGTGCTCTCACAATACCCACGGGCCAGATGCCTTGTCTTATTTTTTTAAATCACTTTCATATTGTTTCAGAAAATCCACTGGGTAATTTCATCCAGTTTTGACATCTTTGTCGTCAGGAATGTGTGTTACCCCATTTTAAATGTCTTGTTATTTGTCACAGCTCTTATAAATCAAAAAACACTAAGACAAAAATAGGAAGGATGTGTGCACTTGTTTATATTGAAAATGCCTTTTCTCTTTATGACTCTACAAGTGCAAATTTGTAAGGACTGAGTGATGAAAATTAAACAGTGCCAACTACAATGCTGTTTATTTCCTTTAACAATTTAGTCTTGCTCAGTGTGTTGTCATCATTTTGTCAATACTTTTTGTACTGTAAGTTAGTTATAAAATTAATTTGTTGGCTGTCCTAGAGCAGGAACATGTATCTTAGAAAATATTAACTGGTTGTTTGAAGATCACATAACATTTTAAGCTGTGCTATTTTTCACCACGTATAAAATTTTGCAGATGACTGTAGGGCTTTCAAGGTTTGATGTGCTTCACTTAAAAATGTGCCTGTATTTTGATTAATTTTTTTTACTCTTTCAGAAGGAAAATGAAGTCTTTTGCTGAAGCATGGAAGATAAATGATTCTCAGGAACTGCAGAAGTGGAAAAGTATGTGTGAACCTGAAGATGAAAGAAAGGACAGTTTTTAATCCTCAGATCATGGTTAAAGATGGAAGATATCAGAGGTGCAAAATATAGGTCTGGAGACTAATAGATTCTATCAGGGTGTAGTTTTAAGTGCACTAAGTTGACTTTTTGCCTTCTGAGAGATAAGAGATGCTGCATTGTGTGTAATTTTCTCTCTCCACATCCCTATTCACCCTTCTTCTTAATTGCAAAATGTCAACTGGCATTGGATTGAATATGTTTAGAAAACATGAAAAAAATTACTGGTAAATTATTAGGTAAATATTTTATAAATAAAATAATGTGTTTCATCTTTATTGTACTTCAATTTCTAAAGAAATATTTCTCTTTGTTAGAAAATGTAGCTGAGTCCCAACTGTGCTGTATTGCTGTGCAAGTGGTAAGAGTGGGCACTATAGCAAGACCTTTTTTGTTGTTCTAGTGGTAATGCATTTAAAATTCACTGGTTTTTTAGAGCACCCTTTGCTCCTGATCTTGTCCCTCTCTGGCATGGTCTGGATAAAGACTTAATGCCAAAATATTCTTGGAGTATTTTAGGGTGAGTGAAAGGGGCAATTCAGACTGTGCAGCTGGTGCAGCACTCTGTGCCAGTGCTCTGTCAAGGACAGAGCAAAACTGAAAAATACAAAATGCTTTTTAATTTTTTTATTTTCAGTTATCAAGGCCAAATTTCACATGGGAACGTGATATCCAAATTGTTTATCCCTTGTAAGTAACCAGGTTAAATATGTTGCATGATGTTGGCAGACATGTTCCTGAGGGACTGACCCTGTGAAAGGACCCACACTGGAGCAGCTTGTACCTTAACCAAACACTTCTCTCCAGGTTCCTCAGATGGCAAAACATCATTTAAACAAATACTTTGTCTGCCACTCAGATAGCAGCGATCAATGTGAGCTCCTCCTTCCAGACCCTGCAGTGCCTTGACCTAAACTGCAAGAGCTGAAGAGGAAAATTAGTCTTTCAAGGTGTGATTACACACGTGTGTTTATCTAAACCAGGCATTGTGGAGCATAATGAATGCAATACTCTTTTATTAATGTGCGCAGATGCAGGGCTTTGGATCTAAAGGCCTCTGACCCGAGTCATCAATGAGAATAAATGAGCCATTGGTAAATTCCTATATGTGCTAGATGTGCTTTTAGTCTTTTCCCTCAAGGGAGCATTCAGACTATGTTCTGACAGGAAAAAAAAGACCTGGATGCAGTGAAAAAAGTGAAGAAATACAATTAAGTGCTGATGTTGGTATTGCTATTTGCTCATACTATTGAGAACAAAGCAATCACAGCAGGGTTTTAATGTTTGTGATCACACTGGAAACAACTGTTTGTTTCTAGCCCTGTGGAATCCAGCAGTGGAGGTTATCTTGCTATCCCAGTAAGGTTTCTTAGACATGCAAGCCAATTACTAAAGCTACTGTTTTATTCGCTATACTCAGAGAGTGATAAGAAGCTGTTCTTGTCTTTTTATATTTCTAGATTATTATTACTCTTTTATTTGCAGTTCCAGCACATTCCTGCATCCAGGTGGCGGCTGGTCACTTGTGGTGTCTCCCAGGGATCAGTGTTGGGCCCAATTCTGTTTAACATCTTTATCGATGATTTACATGAGAGGATTAAGTCCATCATTAGCAAATTTGCAGATGACACCAAGTTGGGGGGGAGTGTTGATCAGCTGGAAGGCAGGAGGGCTCTGCAGAGGGACCTGGATAGACTGGAGAGTTGGGCTGATTCCAGTGGGATGAGGTTCAACAAGGCCAAGTGCCGGGTCCTGCCCTTTGGCCACAACAACCCCTGCAGCGCTACAGGCTGGGCACAGAGTGGCTGGAGAGCAGCCAGGCAGAAAGGGACCTGGGAGTTTGGATTGACAGGAGGCTGAACATGAGCCAGCAGTGTGCCCAGGTGACGAAGAAGGCCAATGGCATCCTGGCCTGGATCAGCAACAGTGTGGCCAGCAGGTCCAGGGAAGTGATTCTTCCCCTGTACTCAGCACTGGTGAGGCCACAGCTGGAGTGCTGTGTCCAATTCTGGGCCCCTCAGTTCAGGAAGGACATTGAGGTGCTGGAGCAGGTCCAGAGAAGAGCAACGAGGCTGGTGAAGGGACTTGAGCACAAGTCCTGTGAGGAGAGGCTGAGGGAGCTGGGGTTGTTTAGCTTGGAGAAGAGGAGGCTCAGGGGAGACCTCATCACTCTCTACAACTCCCTGAAAGAAGGTTGTAGCCAGGTGGGGTTTGATCTCTTCTCCCAGGCAGTCAGCACTTGGACAAGAGGGCTCCATCTTAAGCTGTGCCAGGGGAGGTTTAGCTTGACTGTTAGGAGGAAATTTTTTACAGAGAGAGTGATCTGACATTGGAATGGGCTGCCCAAGGAAGTGGTGGCTTCTCTGTCCCTGGAGGTTTTTAAGATGAGACTGGATGTGGCGCTCAGTGCCATGGTCTAGTAACCACGGTAGTGTTGGATCAAGGGTTGGACTTGATCTCAGAGGTCTTTTCCAACTAGGCGGTTTCTATGATTCTATGATTAGGCTTCATCCTAAAAAGAATTTGAAGTACAGTTTTGGTAGTGGAATCATCCTGGAGATGTGCTCTGTTTTTAAATCAGAGTAACAAAGTTTTGTGTGTGTGCTGAGTCAGCAGGTTTGATTCTATAAGTGTAAGGTTAAAGAAGAGTGGCCTGTGCTTAGATGGGTCTTTGTCACAGTGGGAATTCATGCTAGGTTTGGGTTTGCTTCAAGAAACGAATGTTTAAATCTTGTTGTCTAAATATTAATACTCTTGGAAACCTACATAAGGCATTAGCTCCTACTGCTGTGCCAGCATGGTATTGATGTGGTTAAAATTTAACATTCATATGAAAAGTACAGCTTTTTGCTATACATGAAGGTACAGTCTGCTTGACAAACTTTTGGACTTCATGGATTTTACCCCTTTTTTTAAAGATGGTGTTCATCACTTTCTTAAACTTTTTCATTGTTCTCTTTTCTCTGTTCTTAACAGAAAAATTTTAACGCCTTTATACATCTTGTCTTGAAGGTGTTGCCTTCAGAAATCACAGTGCCACAGGTGAGCAGCAAAACTGGCAGAGAGTTTTGATGGGAGAGAAGGAGAGGGAGGGCTAGGTACACCGTCACTGTGTGTACGCCTTTGTGTGTTTGGTTATATAAAAAAAGTCATTACGGAATACGCAGGGTAAAATACATTACCAGTACAATTACCTCTTTTGCTGGCAGACATCTTTCACTGAAGTAATTCTCTAGAGGATTTCTCTTTGTGTTGCAAAGTTTTCCAGCAGTTTTTATAGAAATTACATGAATTTGCCTACCACATATGTTTACAAAGTGTATAAATCAATTTAAAGATCATTGAAATGTCAGCTTGGTCAGGTATTGCAATAAAGTGTGTTTACTGCAGTGAAGCTAATGTTTGTTAATGAAATCTGTCTGAAAGTAAATTATACAAATATTTCTACTAAATGTAAAATTACTGAGAATTTGATTCCATTCTTTTAGTAGAAATACCTTGCTAGTTCTGATATAAAAGCATGTTTCCTAGGGAAATAAAGGTTTGGTGGATTGTGTTGCACTGAGAGAAGTGGGACTTCCCTAATTACAATATAGATTTTTTTCCTTACCTAGACTCAGAGACAGGTAGAAAGCAAAGGATATTTTCCTAATTTCTTAAAAATCTTAAGCAATTTCTGAAACAATTGTCTTGATGTGTAAGATGCAAGGCCTTGCAGGTTATGCTGTATGTTTCTCTGAGACTGGACTGGTTTAAGCCATAAGTGAACTGTGGGGAGAGACATAAGACATTTATAGTTTTCAAATATTTATGTTCTTTGAACTTGCAAGGAATCTGTAATTTTATTTTTTTTTACTGCCCTTCTTCCAAAAGTTTCCATGTAAGTAAAAGTGGTTTTTTAGGTGTTATAAAATAAGGTCATTTTTATTTAGAATACTGGTAGCTGCCACTAGTAATAATAATGAAAAATGCTTCTGATGTAAATAGAATTTTTAGCCCTTTTTCTTTTATTTTTCAAGTGTTCTCTTTTTATGACTTTATTATACTGTAAGAAAATGGGTGATTTTTGGGAAAGAAGGGATTGGAAAACACAACACACAGAAAGTATCAAATGCACAATCTGCAATAAAGAAGTAGAAATCAATGTTGACTTTTTTTTATCATAATAATCCAAATATCTAGGGTAATTTAAAACGCAGAGTCTCCTGAATACTGGGAAGATTACTAGATATAATTATCTCAGTCTTATGTAACACTAAATAAAAGTTTCAGTCAAGTACTGAGCTTTTCCCTCTGCCTACATACTGAAATATTCCTCTTTGCATATTTTTTCTGCATATTGCATTAGAAATTGACTCTTGTCTTGGGGCATTCCAGAACATTTGATGCATTGTGTGAGCACTCATTTATAGTTCTTATTCAGAGGAGGAGGAGGGAACAAACCCCGGGGCAGAGGAACCTGTCGTGCCCCTTGGAGGTCTGGGATGTTTAGTCAACTTGGATTCCCAGTGCTGGAGAGGAGGGGAGACAGAAGGGTCTGTTTTTCCAGGATGATCCACCACAGAGGACAAGGTCACAGGTGGGATGCACTGGGCAGGTGTTTGTTTTGCAGTGGGAAGGCTGAGGATTCTTCTTAAGGTGTGTCCTGGCATGTGACAGCTCCAGCAGCTGGTCAGACCCCGAGTGCCTGGGACACTCACTCAGTGGAAAAACAAGGGCTTCGGGAGGAGAATGAAAGAGGGGAGTGGGGGATAATCAAGATAATCAAGAAGAAGGCCTCGAAACAGCATTTTTGTCCGAGTTTAATCCAGTCTACCCAAAAAGTGCATCGCGGGGGAGTGATGGGACTTGTAATTTGGACTTTTCTTTCAAAACTGATCTCAAAGCAATTAAGTTTTAATAATGCTAAGAACACAACTCCAAGGTATGCCGAGCTGGCTTTTCTAAGGATATTCCTAGCTCTTAGGCAGCAGTGTCCAGTGGGACCACCCTCCTTCCCCACAGCTGGTGTCTGTCATGTTTATGCTCCCCTTGTTTGTGATTTGTGCACACTTTGAGTTTTTCTCATTGGACAGTGAATTATTTCTGCATAAAGTGAAATACTGCACTCTATTTGCAGTACTTCACCTAACACCGGCTCTATTAATGCAATTAAGTGTTAAATGAGCTCATTTTCTATGCAAGTTCCTATTCTTAATAGCTCCTACATTGGAAAAGAAAACTTTGCTAATCCTGTTATTAAATTACAAACTAAATCTGTGTAAGCCTTTTGACACATTTATTTGAGTAGCAATTAAGTCTCAGAAGTGATCTGTGCCTGATGATATGTTTGTTCTGTCCCACAAGCCATCAGGCTGAGAAGCTGCAGCGTTCCTTCCCCGCATTTCCACAGCAGTAGGACAAAAATCTCCACCTGATTCCTTCAGGATGTAGCTTTTCTCCCCTTTTTAACTGTTCTAACAAGTTCTGTATTCTGTTCTTCATATCCACTGATTGTTTCTCAGCTGATGTGTGATGCAACCATCTCATTTATCACTGCCCTTTTCTTCCTCCTGAAAAGATGGAGGGTCTTCAACAAAATAAATAAATAAATAAATGTTATCAATTTAAACTTTATTTAAATAAAAATTAAAATAAAAGTAGGCTTTTCTCCATATAGCAGCTCCTTGCAACTAATTCATTCTCCCTCAGGAGTCCAGCTACTTCAGTGAAAGCTTCAGCAGAGCTCTGGATTTTGTGTTTCCAAAAAGTGAGTGTGAAGGTGTTCCATTACATTCCTTGTGGTGCTGTTCTTTAAGCCCGTGTGTACTGCAATCTCTCTTGTCTCCCCCAGTTTCTGTATGGACCTGTCCCCTCACTCACAGTCAGGTGCAGGATTGGTTGCACCAGTCCACTGTAAGTGAGCTGTTGAGCTGCATAGATCCCTTCCTGAAGGTGTGTTCCCCTTTGCAGAGTGAGTGAGTTCACCCTGATCTGTACCACACCCTCAATTCTAACAGTTTCATCCTCAGGGTCCCTTAAAAATATTCCCAGGGATTTCAGCAAGAGTCTGTTTAGGGTCAGAAATTGGTATGTTATTTCCCTTGTGTTTCATCAAATCTCAGCTGACATCCTCTGTATAATTTTGCTTTTAACTTACACATGTAATCATTTCTGCTTTTTGTATTTTTGAAATGTAGGTAGGGGAATGATAGAAGAATTCTGACTGTTCCCCCACCTTTACACAATAATCTTTTAATGCTTTGCTTATCACCCCTGGATTGGACTAAAGGAATATCTGACTTCCTAATTTGAGGCCTCAACCTCATCTGGTCTCTCAATTTTAGATCCATGGCATTCTGAAGTGAGTTGGTACCAAGTGCCCAGTGCTGTGTGTCAGTTTACACTAGCTTGACAGACCTCTGTGGTCACCATTAAGCATTTAAAACTTTTTCCTTTCCTTTCTTGTTCCATTATCTTTTCACATTATAGAGGGCTGCCTTGCCAAGGACTTCACAGGTAAGAATCTAGGCACTGCATTTGGTCTGGGTGTGCAAGTGAGCAAATGATGCTTGTTATGGGACCTGAGGCAATATAACCTTTTCTTTGCTGGCAGTACTAGGCAGGAGTGTCAGAATAGTTTATAATGTTCCCCACAGGGAGAGGAGATGAATTATTTGCAAGACCAAATCCTGGTCCTGCACCAGAGCCAAAGTGGTCTTGTCACACACAGGTTATGAGCTAAACAGTGTGGTGAGTGCTTGCCTTCAGGTTTACAAGCTGTTGTAAAGAAAGTTATGGAAATACTCAACTGTTTGGAAAAGTGCGGGTTTTGCCTGACCTTGTTCTTTTTTCAGAGTCCAAGGGCTGCGTGTGGCCCATGCCTTTTGACTGTCCCAGGACAAGCCCTGTGACTCACTTCAACTCCAGTTTACCTCACGTTTATGAAGAAACTGCCTTGGGTAGTCAGACCTCCATACTGCTTTGGAATTTACAATTTTGTGATTGGAAGGGCTCCAAAAATAAATGGGATTATAAATGAATTGAGGGTAGGATTGCATTTATAGACTGTACAATATTTTAAGGTAGTGCCATCCAAAAGCCATGAAAACAGGATGTTTTTGTATCTCAGTGAGCCTCTGCTTTATAGATGAGGCTGGGCAGTTTCAGCCAGAGGGAGGAAAGCTCTACTTTTCCCCTTGTTAATGGGATGATGTTAGAAATCATTCCTTGAAGCACAGTTGTGTTGTGAGATAACCAAAATTTCTATAAGGCCATCAGTGTGTGGTTCATCTATGCAGATCCACACCTGTCCATACTCTGAAAGATGTGTTTCACCTCTCAGAAGAAATCATTTTGAATATGCCTTGTTCTTGTTAAGTTATATTTGTTCTGTAGGCACCCATTTAAAAGTTCTCATCAGAATGGATCCCTGAAAGAGTCCAACACCAGGTTGGATGGGTCTTGGAGCAACTTGGGATAGTAGAAGGTGTCCCTGCCTATGGCAGGGGGTGCTTTTAGGTGTGATGTGCTTTAAGGTCCCTTCTGACACAAACCAGTCTGGGGTTCTGTGATGAACTTACCTTCACTGCTGTGGTCCACTTGGCTTTTCAAAAAGTAGGCTTTGAACTGGACTATACCACACTGATGGATTCACTTATGCAGTAAAACTCAGACCACTCAGTTCCAGTGTCATGACATGTTACAGCAGCCAGAGGTGGCACCAGTCAGTCATTCCTGCTTCCCATGTTCATCCCAGGAAAAGCACAGAACTGAGGGGTCCTTTTGCTCCCCACAGACCTCCATGTACATGAATTTACCATCATGTTGTTTGTCCCCCCCTTGCCGAGCTGCAAGGAGCTTCAGTACCTGGCACAATAGGGTATGACATTTTTGAGCACTCCTGCTGGATCATGGATAAAATCCACCCCTTTGGCTTTAGAGGCCCAAGATCCCTCCTCCATCTCAAACGTGACCAACAGTAATTCTCACAGAGAGACAGCTTGTCTTTTTTGATTCTTACCAAAGCTTTTTTTTCCACCCTCCCCACATTCAGTAGAAATTCATATTGTGCTGCAAACAAATCACAGTTCAAGGACTTTTTTTTTATTTTTTTATTATTTTTATTCTGAATGGAAAACAATCTGTTGCTATGTGCAAAGTGAGAGCTTTCAAGAGGGCAGTTTATTATGACCTTTGTAGAAAATACAAAACTAATGTATGAAGCTCTCAGCTGAGGGTTGTTTGTGTGCTGCAGCAGTACACTGTTGCAGAAACCTTCACCTCACAAATAGGAGGTAAAAGTCTGTCAGTCATCTCCTTTAAGAGCAGACACTGTTTGTATAGCATTGACATCACTTTCATGTCTGTGCAAACTTGTCAAGGTAAATCTCTCTTAGGTGCACAGAATGAGTATTTTAAACATTCATGTAAGCAACAGGATTATCCACTGCTTACAGCCCAGAACTGGGGTTTGCCAGCAGAATTCCAGGTTCTCTTTGCTGCTCATTCATCTCCCAAAGGGAGACAATGCAGGTCTGATTCAGAGTGGCAATGCAGTGAATGTTCAGTATTTGCTTTCTGGTGACATGCCTTGTAAAATGGAAAGAGGCAGCTTCTAAAGCCAGTGGTGAATGGATAGAGGTTACCCACCTAACTCAGCTGAGATCTCCCTTACATAAAAACATGTTATACCAAATCTTTATTGCTGGGCTCATTTTCCCACATCACTTCTCAGGTACTGAATGGTAAAAAAACAGGACAAGGTTCCCATGCCAAAGCACATGTTTAAGGCCAAAGGGCAGGACATGGGAGGAGAAAATGTCCTGGTCCTTGAGTGTCTGCTCTTAGAATCATTAAATCCTAGACTGGTTTGGATTGGAAGGGGCCTTAAACCTCATCTTGTTCCACCCCGTGCCAGTGGCAGGGATACCTCCCACTATCCCAGGTTGCTCCAAGTCCTGTCCAGCCTGGCCTTGGACACTTCCAGGGGTGGGGCAGCCACAGCTTCTCTGGGCAACCTGTGCCAGGGCATGACCACCCTCACAGGGAATAATTCCTTCCCAACATCCCATCTAACCCTGCTCTCTGGCAGTGGGAAGCCAGTCCCCCTTGTCCTGTGTCTCCATCCCTTGTGCCAAGTCCCTCTCCAGCTCTCTTGGAGCC